CTGGGGGGGGGGGGGGTTGTGAGCACACGGGCTTGGGGAACCGCTGCCTTCAGGGAGCCCCTACCCCAACTTGCACAGACGCCCTTGCCTCTGGGGCACTCGACCATGCCTGGGGGCGTGGGTTGTCAGGCCAAGTAGAGGGTCGCTACGCATCTGGTGGGCGCAGGCACGGCGAGCACACCCGATGCCCACGGTGCAGTCGCGTTGTGAAGCCTCATTCCTTGCCCTCAGCCCCAGGGCGACGCACCTGCCTGCAGGGAGTTGGGGAGTGGGCCATGGAAGATGCGCGGGCTGTATGCCGGCATGGCCTGGCTGGACCCTCTGCCCAGCAGGAGCCTCCCTCGGTGTCCTCGTGAGGCTGAGGCCCACCCGGAGGGCTTCCAGAGGAGGGGTCCGCCGCAGCCCTGGCACTTGGGGTGCTGAGAGGAGCACAGCTAAGGCGGGGCCCTGGGGAGGGGCGGGCCTTAGCCCTGCAGCTCGGGGAGGCCCGGCCAGCCAGAGCAGCAGCACACTCCCAGCGTGGTCACCCTGCCTTGGTGAGCATCTCGGGGGAGCTCTCTGGAGCCGGGAGCCGAGGCCCGAGGCCCGGAAAGGTCTGCAGGTGCCCTCGGGGAACCTTCCCTAGGTTGCTCCTGGGCTCAGGCAGTCCCAGCTCCCCAGCCCCCATCCTGTCTTCCAGGTTAGAGGGGGACAGGAGAAAGGCTGCCCGGAGGCTACCGCAGTGGAGTCAGGATTATGCCCAAGGCCAGCTCTGGCACCTCAGCAACGGACTGCTAGGGACAAGCCAGATCCCATGGGCACACCTGCAGTCCAAATCCCAGGCCCGATCAGCATGAAGTAGGCCAGGCATGCATGTGAGCACGCAGGATCTGGCGACTAGAGGGAGATCCCAGCAGGCTCTGTGGTGGGAGCTGTTCTTCTAGGGGACCTACAGGCTTGGTCAGGAGTGACGGACGGACCTGTGGGCACTCCCACCTTCCCCGGCGAGGACACAGCCAGCCCCGATTCTGTCCTTGACCATGGTGAGGGTGGGATGGCAAGAGGCTCAGAGGAGAGGTCCCTGACCCCACCAGGCCCAAGTGCCGCTGCAGGGTCTGTTCCTCGAGGAATGCAGACTATCTCATTGAAGGGCCTAGTACTGGGGGCTTCTCTGAAACTAACCCTCAATGACACAAATTCAGTGGGTTAACTGGCACTGACATCAGTCGGCAGACCCGACTGGTGTCAGGTCTGAGGCTGGGCACGCAGTTCATAGGTGCCGGTCTAGGAGGAGGAGTCAGGTCACAGGTGGAAGGAAACCAGCCAGACCGGAGCTGTGCTTTGGAAAAGTCCCTCTGTAGCAGGTGGGGCGGCCTGGAGGAGGGAGCACGAAAGAGGTAAGCTCAGAGATCCCCAGGCTTCTGAGATCTATAAAACTGCTTCCCGGCCGAGTCAGGCCAGACGGGAGCGTGGCAGAGGAAGGAAGCACCAGGCAGGGTCAGAGGAGACCCTCTTCTGCACCGCACTTCCCCAGGAGTGCTCGTCTTGGCTCCAGATTGCAAGATGAACAGGCATCACCACCCTCCCTCCCAAAGCAAAGCCTGAGCACACCTGAAGCAGACTCGGGACACCCCTGCCGGGACCACCCACCTGCCACCACCTCCAGCCACTGCCCCGTATTGATGAGCACTTGACCTGAGAGTGTCCTGGGAGATGAGATCACTAGGCCCTTGTCCTCCAGAGGACTGAGAGCCGGCACTGCTGTCCCCGTGCCTGGAACTCTTGGCCCTGCACCGACGCCGGGCTGGACCCCAGCCCCGCACGCCTGCATCCCAGGGCAGGAGCGCTCCTGAGAAGGGCTGGCCCACAGGTAAGTGGGAAGGACACACTGACACCTGAGAAAGAGCCTTCTGTGTGGCAGTGCAGACTCTCACCTGCATCTTCCATCTCCACGACTTCCCTGTCATTGAGATTGAGCTGTCACCACTTTCCAGAAGAGGAAGCCTCTGAGCAGTGCGGTGAGTGGTTCCAGGTCACACAGCAGCAGGGCTGGCACCAGAAGCCAGTACTGAGCGGGCAGGCCCAGCCACTTTCCCCATGGCGGCCTTCACGCCTCACTCATCTTGGTACTCCATGTTTTATTATTAAGTTTGCTATTGGGCATATGTGCTTACCAGACACAGATGGATAGAGAGAGAGGGAGAGGGAGCTAGCCACTAGATACAGGACTCACCGCAGTCGGCCACAGCACTGCAACCATGCCACCTGCTGGCCCCCTTCATTTTGTTTTTGACACAGCAGCAGGTCGCTGCCACGGCAGCCAGGAAAGCTCACATCCTCCTGAGTCTGTGTTTCAGGGGGAGGCACTAGAAGAAAAGGGGAACCTAGGAGACTGGAAGTAGCCAGGAGAGGGGTCACTCCCTCACTCAGTAGACTGTGTGACCGTTCTTTATGTAAATTGCTATAGGGGGCCGCGTAGTGATTGGGCTGCTGTTCTCCCACAGGGCTATGGTTCGAGTCAATCTAGCAGCTTGCTTTCTCACTTGGGCAGGTGTGTGCCCAGAATCCTGAAAGGAGAGAGAGAGAGAAGAGATTTCACCATTCCCCACGGGGGGTTACATTCTCCTCTCTCCGGTATGAGCACACACACTAGCAAAAAGAAAAAAAGGGTGAGAAAAGCTGGATCCCATTTGGCAGCCACTTTTCAAATCCCAGCCCCATCACCCTGAAACACACTGGGCACAAGGGCAAGTGCCCAGGGTCCAGCAGACTGGAGGAAGAAGGGCCGGTGTGGCCAGCCCCTGGGAGGCTGCTTCTCACACACACATGCTCTATCATGAATAAAGGGAAATAATCTAAAAATAAAAGCAAAGGAAGGTTAACTGTGGCACCCTACTGGACAGAGATGCATTCCTGAGTCAGGGAGCCCAGGAGAAGCAGCTGCTGGGTTCGCACTCTGTGGGCCCCCCATCTG